AAAAGAGTTAACTGTATAGTAGATTCTAGACCATATGTAATAATCTTTGAAAGCAAAGCTATAGAAAAAAGATCAAGTGTTACCAGGGGTTAGGGATAAGGAAGGGATATAAAAGGTAAGCACAGAGGATTTTAGGCATGGAAACTATTCTGCATAATACCAACAATGGTTGGATACATTTCCAAATCAAAGAAAAACAGCACCTCAAGAGGAATCCCATGTAATTTGTGCACTGTGCAATACTGAAGCGTCAGGGTAGATCCACTGGATTGTAACACCATATACCCTGGGGGGGGGGGAAGCTGTATTGCGGTGAAGGCTGTACAAGAAAGGAATAATTACATGCCCACTAATTCTGTACTTTCAGTTTTGCCATGTACCTAAAACTGTTCCTTTCTAAAAAATAAGTTATTAGTTTTTAATAAAATGCATGCATTGGTTTAAATTATCAAATAGCCAACTCAATTACTAAGATTCTCTTTCCTAAGGACATTTCTCACATAACCAAAAAAAACTCTTGCTTTCCTCTTTTCTTTTTGTCCTACGATATTTTCCACCTCTTCCATTGACGAAATCATTCTTGGGATCCTTATTCCACTATCTTTGATCTCTTCAGCCTAGCTGCTCCAGCTTCTTCCTAATGTGCCTTTTTCTATTCTCTCTTCGTCTCTACTCCTGTACTTCCTGTTCTTCCCTGAAAGGAGTAGAAGAAAGAAACCAGTACCATATGTAACGATATCTTAAATCCTAATACATATGCCTTAGTCTCAATTGCAATAGGCACTAAGTTCCCTGCTGCATCTCTGCCAGTTTTGTCCTATACTAGTCAACTACAGAACCGATAAAGACCCTATCACATCATCCTTATTGCCACCTACCTTAGAATTCTTGACTATCTGAATCTTGCTGTATTTTCTAACCGTTATAGCATCTCTGTCAACTGTCAAAGTTCCAAGATTTCTATTGGTCATTTTTCCAGGTCTTTTTTCTTGTGGTTTGTACAACAGTTTCAATCTTCTGAGTAGTTAATTGTCTAGGTTTATACAAACCACATTTCTTCCTAACTTGGCCATGGTCCAATGGCTTCCACCGTCTTAATCCAGCTGCTTATTCTTGGAGGCTGATATAGTGAGACAGATCAACAGTTCTGAGCCCCAGAGTTTGAGGTTCACAACGTGAGTTCTACGCTGATTGCCATCCCGCGACTCTTACAGTGGACCAGGCAACGAGTGTCTACGGGTGTCACCTCACTTTCCTTCACAAAAAACAAACCAAAAAAAAACACATACACACAAAACTTAGGTCGATAATACAACAAAACATCCAACCTAATATCACATGACGATTTTTCTTACCTTTCAGCAGGACAAAATATCCTGCACTTTGTCCCCATCCAATTGGGACACTACAGCCTCATTTGGCAGTAAGCAAGATCGTACTCCTATTCAACATTGAAATCAGCGAAAAAAACCAATGCGCCGAGCGCGCAGGCGTGTGGCTCATGCCTGTAATCCTAGCACTCTACCGGCCAGGGCTGCTCGAGCATGGCGGTACTTGCTCCTAATAGTCAGGTAGTTGTTCGAAACCTAGCTTGAGCAATAGGATGGAGCACAACCAGTTCTACAATAAAGTAGAAGAAATCTATAATTGGCCCATCAATAATTTAATTATATTTTATAGTAGAGACGAAAAAAAAAATTAGCTGGCATCGGTGGGCCGCATGCCCCGTAGTCCCAGTATCAGGAGGGCTGAGCAGCTACATGGAGCTTGAGCACAGGCGAGTTAGGTTGCCTGTGACCAGGCTGACGCCACGGCACTCCACTCTAGCCTGGCAACAAAGTGAGACTCGTTTCAAAAACAAAAAAACAAAAAAAAAAAAAAGAAAAAAAGAAAAAACAATGGACTCAGTTCCACTAAAGGAGACACAGAAGAAATGCACGCTGACACTCCAGGTATATTAGAGCGATTATTCAACTACAGCCATCCACCCTCTTCTTTCATTCATGAATGGCTACACCATGGTTTGATCATTTCCCACTAAATTTTTTTTGTTTCCTGAATGTAGGTGCAATGTTAACAAAGTCTAGGCCGGCGGGGGCTTCACGCTGTAATTACTCCTCTGGTAGCCGAGGCGGCGGATCGCTTCCGAGGGTCAGGAGTTTCGAAACCAGCCTGAGCAAGAGTGAGACCCGTCCTCTATAAATAGAGACGAATTAATTGCACTAATACATATAGAAAAACTAGCCGGGATGGTGGTGCATGCCGGTATCCCAGCTGCTTGGGAGGCTGAGCAGCAGGATAGCTTGACCCAGGAAGATGGAGGTTGCTGTGAGCTAGGCAGACACCACGGCACCACTCTAAGCCTGGGCGACAAGTGAGACTTCTGTCTCAAAAAAAAAAAAAAAAAAAAAACAAAGTCTAAACAACATAGATAGAGGGTAAAAAAACAGACAGGAAAAAAATAATAATGACATAGAGGCAGCAACTCCTAAGGGGGTGAGTTCACTGACACACAGGTGCCTGGTGACAGTCTTCAGTCCTTCCTAGGGTAAGGCAGAGAGCACTATCTACCCTACAGTTACACAATCAGTACTGCTGGTGAGTTAATAGCTGCCGACAACCCATCATTTGCATATAGCGATTTACACTGAAGCCACCAGGCATACCTTTGCAGAAACTTCCGCACTGATCTCCTCCTGTGTTTCAGCCAGCCGTTTCTTGGCAAGCTCGGTTCTCCGATCACATTCTGCAATAAAGGACTCCAAGTGATCCATTGCCTAGCACAGGAAAAGCAGAGCTATAATCATTTATGTGTACATCTCAGTGCTCATTTGTTTGACAGGAAATACACTCCTGGGTTGGTTTCTTAAAGCCTGCAGGTTCAATGGAAGATCTTAAACTACACTGCAGCTAACACATTCATCACTTCATTAAATTAAGGAGATTTGTTAAACCAAATGTTTGTTCAGAAGCTCATCTAATTTACTTGTTTACTTCCAAAATTTATAAAAGGACCTCCAACCCTCAACAACATTACCAAGAAGTTTTGAGGAAAATGAGAACACATGGTCATAATCAATAGAGTTCTCTGAGGGTTACAGAAAGCTGACCCGAATGCTAGAGGCCTCTTCTGGAGCTGTGGGAGATACACACGGTGTACTCACTGGTCTCTGTGAGCCACATAAATACTATCCCCTCATGCTCTGAGGGTAGAGTCCCTCCTTTCAACTTAAAAACAAAACAACAGAATAAGTATTACTGAGAGCTGTGAATACATTTAGACATTTGCCTATTATCTAAAGTAGCAGAAAAATTGGTTACTATAAAAACTGGTTACTATTTACCCAAAGAGATTAAAAAAAAAAAAGAAAAAGAAAAGAAACTCTAGAAATCAAATTGCATTGAAAAGAGTTGGTAGGAAACAACCATAAACTAATGAGGAGTAAGCCGTCACATATGCTCAAGTTAATGTGCTATAACTAAACAAAAGCCAGTGTAATTTCAGAAAAACACACAAACAGGACATCACTTTTCAAATAAGAAACACCCAAGTTATACCATAAGTCAGCTTGCTAATGTCAGCATGATGTCAAATATGACAGTGCATTTAGCAGTTATGACAGGTTTCGACAGCATGTTCTATTACCAAAAAATAGAGAAAAGAAAACTCTGAGTGGAGATAAGCCAGATGAAAGTTAGGACAATTGACCAAGAAGTGATAATCTATACCCCCTGTCCTAAAACAGACAGGAGAGAGTAGGGCACAGCTGTAAGAAAGTGCTTCACAAAGATCAGTGCAACTGGAACGGGTCACAGCGACACTGGAGAGGGTTATGATACCTTCCAACAATCTTAAACATCTTCTTCAAATAAATTCATACTTAGGCTCCTGTGATGGTGCCAAGGCTCCCAGAAAGCTGCAGAAGTGCTATACTATCCTCATTCATGGAGGACAACTCCCAGGTATTACTCTATTATTTTGTAATTCAAGATTTTCTCTTGCTAGTCAATCAAATGTTCTCTGGTAAAACATTTCACTACATTAAAATCCAAGAATCAAGAAAACAAATGATCTGCCATGTGTTTGCTCATACACATTTGTTCACACATACACTGCGTATACTGTACTTCCTGGAAGGAGGGAGAGCTGGCTGGAGCTCACCAGGATGGAAGTGCCAGTAAGCTGGTGAGGGTCTGTGCCATCTGTGCTCACCTGAGACGACAGACCAGACTGAGATGTACCAGGTTCACCCGTGCAGTGGTCCTCTATTCTCTCCCCAAGCAGAGAAATCACACACCTGAGACAGACCCAAGGATCCACTCATCAGGGTCAAACGGGGAACAAACATCTGACAACCCGGCAACGCATTTACCAATAAAATTAATTACCTGCACCTTAAGCAGAATCCAAATTGGCCATGGATTCAGATGTCTGATAACCTAAAAACTAAACGACAAACTTCGTAACATAGAACAAGCAAACCATGAAAAGGTCTTTTAGCTGCCCAAGTTCTTTAAAAGGTGGCTCTCTCTGTTCCAGTGCCCCCTCCCTCCCTTCAAAGTGTTTCTCTCAATTTCAGATAAAACTTTTGCAGAGGGACTCTCAGAGCCTCTCTTTCACACATGGTGAAACTGAAATACACCCATCAAACTGCTAAGTAATAGTTGGCTCCAAAGCCCCTGCACTTATTACTAACAACTGAGGCCATCAGCACCAGCCCAGTTTATAGAGCAACAGAAGAGGGTAAAACCACCTTCTATCAGTCAGAACTGTCACAGCAACAGGTGCCCTATGCTGTACTGAGTGTTCCACATGCCTTGAAACCCCTGCAGAGGAACTCAAACTCTCTAACCCAGGATATCTCACCTAGAAAAACATAACTATTATACCATATACTTGTAAGACAGAAAAACTAGGTAGAATCAAAACCAGTCTTATTTGGTCTATTAAAGACAGTCTGGAAATAAGTTGATGGGGATTGTTCTGAAAATCTAACAAAACATCATAAACCAAGAAAATGTGGGGGAAATGTCCCACAAGTATCACTCTTAAGCTCAAGTTGACAAAGAAATACCTTTTTATACCTCTGTGACTGGAGGTATATAAGAGACCCAAATGTCTGGTAACTTGCTATGTTAACAAAGACACGTAAAAATGGGAACTGCCTTGTAATCCTAACACTTTGGGAGGCCGAGGCAGGAAAACTTCTTCAGCCAAGGAGTTCGAGACCAGCCTGGACAATAGTGAGATCCCATCTCTACAAAAAATAGAAAAATTAGCCAGGTGTGGTGGCACACACCTATAGTCCCAGCTATGCTAGAGGCTGAGGCAGGAGGATCGCTTGAACCCAGGAGTTCGAGGCTACAGTGAGCTATGATGATGCCAATGCATTCTACCCCAGCAAAAGAGAAAGACCCATATCAAAAAAAGAAGAAAAAAAAAAAAAAGAAGTGGCTCCCGTACACTGATGATAGGAGCATTTGCTCCTCTGTAGAGTACTTTGGTACTATCTACTAAAATGACAAATATACACACCTTTCTGACCCAACAGTTCTACTTCTGGAAATCTTTTCCAGATATACCCCTAACATGCCAGTGTGCAATGCAGCACCATGACCATCAATGGGGGACTGGTCATATAACACAGATACTCATTCTCGGAAATACTATGTAGTCACAAAACGAACAAAAGGCAGGGCATGGTGGCTCACACCTGTAATCCCAGCACCTTGGCAGGCTGAGGCAGGAGGATTGCTTGAGGTCAGGAGTTAGAGACCAGCCTGAGCAAAAGTGAGACACTGTCTCTACTAAAAATAGAAAATATTAGCTGGGCGTGGTGGTACTCCCAGCTACAGCGGAGGCAGTAGGATTGCTTGAGCCCAGGAGTTTGAGGTTGCTGTGAGCTAGGCTGATGTCATGGCACTCTAGCCTAGGCAACAGAGTGAGACTGTCTCCAAAAAAAAAAAAATTCTAAAGGAAACAGAAGAAACAACTGGTTTACTTCTGGAGGCAACCAGATGGCTGATAAACAGAACTAGAGGGAGATTTTCACAACATACCTCTTGCATCTTTTAAATTGAAAACACATGAATGCTCTACTTATTTTAAAAATTAGTAACAGACACTGCAATCCTAAAGAAATAATTGATCTAGGCCATAATCTTCAACTGCTAATTAAAGCATTAGGCCAAGTGCTGACAGGGACATTTACAATAAATAGGTCACGTGCTTGCTTCAGCAGCACATATGCTAAAAACTGAAACAACATAGAGAAGACTAGCATTGGCCCCTGAGCAAGGATGACACATCTTTCAAAAAATAAGATATAAACAAAAAATAAAAATTAATAAATTTAAAAAAATAGGTCAACTGGTTCCAATTCCTGGGCCCACTAATCAACACGTCTCCTACTGTGAAGCAACAAGAACATAGTTCTGTTTCTGAAATATTCTTTTGTTTTTTTTGTTTTGTTTTTTTTTGAGACAGAGTCTCGTTTTGTTGTCCAGGCTAGAGTGAGTGCTGTGGCATCAGCCTAGCTCACGGCAACCTCAAACTCCTGGGCTCAAGCAATCCTGCTGCCTCAGCCTTGTGAGTAGCTGGGACTACAAGCATGTGCCACCATGCTCGGCTAGTTTTTTTCTGTATTTATTAGTTGGCCAATTAATTTTTCTGTTTATAGTATAGACGGGGTCTTGCTCTTGCTCAGGCTGGTTTTGAACTCCTGACCTCGAGCAATCCACCCGCCTTGGCCTCCCAGAGTGCTAGGATTACAGGCGTGAGCGACATGCCATTTTATAACCACTAAATCTTGAAAATTAAATAGTCTGATAATACGAAGTGCTGGCAGAGTATTTGCACTGTTATTGGGGGTATAACTGATACAGCTACTTATCAAATGAGAAACGAGAAAAACAGCAACATTACAGAATTATCTTACAAAGATGAACATGGGCACCCCCACAAGCCAGCAAATCCTCCCCTAGGATTATACCCTAGATAAATCCTTATACACATGACCAAGAAGGTATTAAAAAATATTCATAATATTGTTTGCAATAGCAAAGAAACTGGAATCATTCCAAATGTCTACAAATAAAGATAGTTTGAGAAATATTCAAGCAGCAATGAAAACAAACAATACTCAAAAACATGGGTAAATAGAAACATATTGAACAAAAAAATCAAGTTTTAAAGACTATGAAGTCATTTTTATAAATCTCAAAAACAAGAATGAACATTATCCAAGGAATAATAAAAATACGTAATAAAAATATTTTTAGAAGTGAATGATACATATAACACTGGGATAGTGATGGGGTGGTAAACAGATATAAAATGGAATTTGCCATGTTCCAGCTTTCAGCAAGAGTGATAGTACAAGTATCCATTTCATTATTTTGCTTAGTGACTTATGTTACGTTATTCTTATTAGTTCAATATTTGGTTCTTTGCAGTAGACATTAATCATTATTGAATACAACTTACATCCAATTCAAAAAACAGGTCTCTTTCTTTACTTGCAATCTCATAATCTGCTCGGAGGGCCAAGTCGTGGATTTTGGTACATTCTCCTAAATCCATGCGCTGGCGGAAAGAAACAAACAATTTACACATGAACACCTACCCATCACAGAAAGCATGTAACATGACTTGGTATTTCAACTATTACCAAATAAATATTTTTGTTTGTTTTGAAACAGGGTCTCGCTCTGTTGTCGAGGCTAGAATGCAGTGGGACAATCACAGCTCACTGCAACCTCCAACTCCAGGGCTCAAGTGATCCTCCTGCCTCAGCCTCCAAAGTAGCTGGGACTACAGACACATGCCACCACACCCAGCTTAAACACTATTTTTTCAATATTAAAACTATAACAAGAAAATTAAGAAGCAGGATATAGGCCGGGCGCGGTGGCTCACGCCTATAATCCTAGCACTCTGAAAGGCCGAGGCGGGCGGACTTTTTGAGGTCAGGAGTTTGAAACCAGCCTGAGCAAGAGCGAGACCCCGTCTCCACTATAAATAGAAAGATATTAGCCAAACAACTAAAAATACAAAATATTAGCGGGGGATGGTGGCGCATGCCTGTAGTCCCAGCTACTTGGAAGGCTGAGGCAGCAGGATTGCTTGAGCTCAGGAGTTTGAGGTTGCTGTGAGCTAGGCTGACACTGTGGCACTCATTCTAGCCTGGGCAACAAAGCGAGACTCTGTCTCAAAAAAAAAAAAAAAAAAAAAGAAGCAGGATATGGCTGAGAAGCCTTCTCTTTTACTATCACGATTATTTTCTACTTGGAACTAATACATTTAACAATTAAAGGTTTGTATCTCTTTTAGGCCCAGAGATAATGGGACTGTAATCATGAAAATTACATTAATTAGCTTTTGCCAGTTTTATTTATGCATCAGTTTATACATTCAGTAAATGGTAACATGAGGGCCTGGGGGAGATTGGCAAGGAAAGGGCCAGAAATAGCATCAATTCAGCGAATTTCCAGGCATTCCTTCTTGCAATCTTGACTATCCAAGATGTTCAATGCCTGATGCAATGACAAGAAAAAGAAAGAGTAGGCAGAAACTGGGTTTTGGCAATTACAATACAACCTAACACTTTGCTTTGTGTAGCTCTTTGTATATCAAAGGGAACAAAGCAGAAAAGGCTGATTCAGAACCAGATGAGTTCTCCTAACATTGTCCTAACCTGGCAAATGACCGTGGACATATAATTGGACCACTCAGTTGCCCCATTTGAGAAACAGAAGTCTCTACTAAAACAAAATGATCTCTTCTAATTTTCTTCACCTTCCGATTCATTCTTCTTCTGCATTTTGTAACCACTCAACAAATTTCTTCATCTGGTCAAGAAAAATGCTTTTGCATTTAGCAACATGTGCTTCTTTAAACCATTTCAATGTCGTTTCTTTACTTAGAACATCAGCTTTATAAAAGAGAGCCACAATCTTCTGAAAGGCTTTCATGAAGTGGATGTTGTCGTAACAGTATTCCTCAACAAGCACAATACCGAGGTGACCACATACTTCTTGACTGGGAAAGCTGAACCATTTGGGAAGAGATACTTGGCTTCTGTTTTCACAAAGGAAAAAAAAAAATAGGATAGGCTTCCCTTCTGCAGAAGGGGAAATGGTTTTGGTTTTTGTTTTTAAATGGAGCCCCGAGGCATCAGCTATTATACTTGGGACTCTACCTCTCACTCACAATATGCTAACTTAAAGTCATTCAACAAGGAGTCAAATAGGAATCTGAAGTTAAATACTCAACAGACTCCTCTTTTTTAGCTGTATTTTTCAGGTACTATGTGGTCAACATCCCACTGGTGCCTATTACAGGGCCACTTTGGTAGTTGTGTATCTATCTGCTCGTGTATGTGATTTGACAAACCAGTTTTTTAAATCAGGCCAGGCGAGGTGGCTCACACCTGTAATCCTAGCACTCTGGGAGGCCAAGGCGGGCAGATTGCTGGAGTTCGAAACCAGCCTGAGCAAGAGCGAGACCCTGTCTCTACTAAAAATAGAAAGAAATTAATTGACCAACTAAAAATATATATACAAAAAATTAGGCGGGCATGGTGGCGCATGCCTGTAGTCCCCCAGCTACTCAGGAGGCTGAGGTAGTAGGATTGCTTGAGCCCAGGAATCTGAGGTTGCTGTGACACCACGGCACTCACTCCAGCCTGGGCAACAAAGCGAGACTCTGTCTCAAAATAAATAAATAAATAAAATAAAAGGCTTAAAAAAAAAAGGATCTGTGTACCAGTAAGATTAGCTTGATGTGCTTTTTTTTTTTTTTTTTCTTAAGATAGAGTCTCGCTTTGTTGCCCAGGCTACAGTGAGTGCAGTGGCGTCAGCCTAGCTCACAGCAACCTCCAAACTACTGGGCTCAAGCAATCCTACTGCCTCAGCTCCCGTAGCTGGGACTACAGCTGTGCACCCATGCCCGGCTAATTTTTCATCTATATATAGTGCCAATTAATTCTTTCTATTTATAGTAGAGACGGGGTCTCGTTCTTGCTCAGGCTGGTTTCGAACTCCTAACCTCGAGCTATCCACCTACCTCAGCCTCCCAGAGTGCTAGGATTACAGGCGTGAGCCACTGCACCCAGCCGAGCTAGATGTGCTATTATGTGTTCTAGCCACACAAGTAATACAATTAGACAACAGCGCATATTTTTCATCTAAAGCCTGAGTACAGGACTCTGTGAAGACATCTCCAACTCCGGCCATATACAGAGCAACAGGGAAGTTTGTATGCTGAGGATCATGATGCCAAGTTATGGAGTGCATGTTAAGAAAACCCAACACCCCAACCAGGAGACATCCCCAATCAGACAAAAGTATATCTATATAATTAGTAAAGGAAAAAAAAAAGAAAGAAAAAGAATGATAAGTCCAGAACTCCTATAGGCTCCAACTACAACTATATGCAAAACTATTTCAAAAACTTCATGGGTTATAAAGTTCTTAACAATGCAAACAAACCAGGCTTACAGTGACCGACTCTTGAGACAGTCTCACAGAAAGCACGAGCCATGCTCACTAAAAAAATATCCTGCAGGCCGGGCGTGGTGGCTCACGCCTGTAATCCTAGCACTTTGGGAGGCCGAGGCGGGCGGATTGCTCAAGGTCAGGAGTTCGAAACCAGCCTGAGCGAGACCCGTCTCTACAAAAATAGAAATAAATTAATTGACCAACTAAAAATATTATACAAAAATTAGCCGGGCATGGTCGGCGATGCCTGTAGTCCCAGCTACTCGGGAGGCTGAGGCAGTAGATCGCTGAGCCCCGGAATTGAGGTGCTGTGAGCCAGGCTGACGCACGGCACTCACTCTAGGCCTGGGCAACAAGTGAGACTCTGTCTCAAAAAAAAATAAATAAAATAAATAAAATTTCTGCAGTATCACCAGCAACAAAGCCAACATTGGGCTACGGAGACAACTAGTCTGCCTAGCACAGAGGTCTTCATTTTGACAAAATGTTGGCTTTTCGCCTTCATTATTCTTACTCTGAAGTCAGACGGTAGCTCATGTTATGTTGGTTACATGGGAATCTAGAGGTAGGGCAATAGTGGTTCTAAAAGCCAAAGTTGAATAAATCACATCACCCGCTGCTCAACTCCTGCTGTGCAGCTCAGTTCCTAACAGGCCATGGTCCTAACAAGCCATGACCAGTACCAGCCTGCGGCCAGCAGTTGTGTTGAGTGGCAGCTTTAAAATAATGAAAGCTCAGTTCAAAGAAAAAAACTACCACAAAGGAAGTAAGCACTAATACCTTAAGTATACAAATCTAAGTACAAATTGATTTCCGTTATAAAATTCAACTGCCAATAGTTTAACATTAGGAAACCTCACATGAAACAAAATTCACCACTATATCCTTTGACAAGACAGCTCTCAAATAGTCACTGATGAAGCAAACTAGGACAAACTTGGGTTCCAAGGTACCCTCTTTGGATGTACATTTTCCGCTTTTCTGAGGAGGCAGGGAACTGCCACTTCCCTGGCAGCCTAACACCAAGCAGAATATTCCAAGTGGCTGTTAATCCAATGTCAGGACCATTTTTACTGAACAAACACACGTGTTCTACTCTAACCTCCAGTGCTCTAACATGCAAAGGGAAGGCACTAAGATTCCAGAACCTCCAGAAAACAAAGCCTTTTCTACTGAGACAAATACACTACCTTCCCTCAGTTGCTACCTACTGTTCCAAATTTACTAACCAACACTTTTTCGGCCAGGTGCAATAGTTCACGCCTGTAGTCCTAGCACTTTGGGAGGCTAGGCAGGAGGAATGCTTGAGGCCAGTCTGAGCAGCATAGTAAGACTGCTGTCTCTGCCAAAAAAATAAATTAGCCCAGGGCTGGTGGGCCCACTGTAGTCACAGCTCTTTGGAGCTAAGTAGGACTGCTGTGCCCAGAAGTTGAGGCTGCAGTGAGCTATGATGACACCACTGCATTAGCCCAGGGAACAGAGCAAGAGCCTCTCAAAAATAAACAAAACCCTACCTTTTCTCTAAGCCTCAATAAAATGATCACTTCCATTCTCCCTTGACCACTCCCTACTCATGACAGGAAATGGTTTGAGCAAAAAGCTGGACCTGGAGAGCCCTTAGCAGGCTGAGGATTACAACTACTTTTATCATTCTGCTTATATCATAAAGAACTATACTCATTCTATTTCAATTTATCACAAACACAAACTTCACAGAACTATCAATTCAACTATCCCTCACCTCTGGTATCCATGATCACAAGGCTCAACTTTTTTCCAATCTTATCCTAACTGACCTTCAGTAGCCTCTGACATCTGTTCATTCACACCTTGCAAAGCACTTTCTTCACATGCACATGGGTCTCCTCAGTTTCCTCCTCGCTTTCAGCCTGCTTCTTCTCAAAATCTCTTTGCTGTGCTGCCCAGGCCCAATCCCAAACACTGGAGTGATCCTGTTCAGTTTACAGTTTCTCATTACTCATTTGATTCCAGAGCCTCAGCCTTCCTCTCCCCTCATCCACACCAGTCGACATGCCAACAGCATTTCTTTCCCTCTGCTCTCTCCTTCATTCACAGCACTGGTTC